GCGCAGGCCGGGGCGGGCGGGGGGAACGAAAGAGCGGCGGAACGGGCGGGCGGCGCTCGGGGAGGCGCCGGGCGGGCCGGCGGGTGAGGCTGGCCGAGCATGGCGGCGCTGCGGGTGCTGGAGCTGTACAGCGGCATCGGGGGGATGCACCAGGCCCTCAGAGGTACCGGCGCGTCCCGCGGGGCTCCGTGCTGCCTGCCCCGCACGGGACACCCCGCCCTCGGGGGCTCCGTCTTCTCGAGGGGACCCCCGCTCTTGAGGGAGGGGGGGCAAGTAGGGTGCTCCTCGATGGGGCGGACAAAGGTGGCCCCTCTTCTCCCATAGCCCCTTCCCCAGCCCGGCGTGTGGCGCCAGGTACCCAGCAGCACATTGGGACGGAAATGAGGGATCCCTGCGCCTTGCTTGGCCCAGGCCCAGGCTTCTGGAAAGGCCGTGATTTTGTGTTTGTTTTTATGTGCTCTGTGTAGTACAGACGCACCCCAGCTGCAGATGGGACGGGGATCACTGAGATGCCCGGCATGATAACCGCATGAGCCGGGGATTCCCACTGGCATGTACGTGGACTTGGTTTTCATAGGCCACAGTCAGGTGAAGAGCTGAGCTGTGTTCCAGTATGATCAAGCCTGAACATCTGAGGCTGGTGTAACTTTTGATAAATATGACAATTGAATGTGGAATTTGAGCTGGTATAGAGGGTTGACACCAGCCCATATTACCAGGTGAGTTTTTGATCTGGTACAGGGAACCCTGGAGTTCAATTTGCTGAATTGTTAAAGCATGACCTGGGTGACCTTCAGCAGGTTCTGTAGATTCTCTGTGAATTTGTTTCCTCAAATTAAAAATTGAGTTAGGACTATTGATTGGTTTGTAAAGTACTGTCGACATTACTACTTTGAAGTCCAGCTTTCAACACACATTAGTATAATTTATGAAAATCACCATAATAATTTTAACTGTTACTACAATCCTTCAAATCCTTGAGTCTTCAGGAGCACTAGCAGAGAGCATTGTCATAAAAATATCAGGTAGAAACTTGCCTTATCTTGCTATTTTTTCGGGGAGCTATGGAATATGAAGAGTATGCTTACAGAGTAAAGTCCATTTAGCATAATTTATTTACTTAAAACACACTCAAAATTGCCAGAGCGGCATTTTTCCTACTATCCTATTTTTGCTGTGAATATGTGCTTTATTTATATAAATATGATTATATAAAAGACATTTTATTTATTATATCTAAAAATACACAACAAAATAGGTTCCTACATTGTTCTTAACCACCTGTTTTGAGGATGTGTATTGCTTATTTCCAGAGACATTCTTAGAATATTAAGTGGAAATAAGCTTTGTCTGGAACTGCAGATTTTGGAGGTTTTGTAGAATGAAAAGTGTGTTATACCTTCTATATAGTATGCACACTAATGGTAGCATGCTGCTTTTCTAGTAACCAGATTTCTGAAGTGATGGCAAGATGGCATGTTTTCTCTATTGGATTTGATGTATTTCCATATTTCCATAAAAAGTGGACTGGTTCTTGAAAGTACTACACCATGGTTCCTTCATTCTTTACTGAATTATCAAGCTGCATTCTTGCCATAATAACAGATGTCTTAGAGCAGTTCAGTAGTGTGCTGCAATGTTTAATAAATTATAATGCTAGATGCAATATCCTGTGAATTTCCACCTGTGACAACATTACTTGCAATTCAATGAATACTTAAAAGGGTGGGAATGTTGAGAATGTCTCATTAGATTATCAGAATACTGTAAACTTTTATCCAAAAGGTACACAGAGTTAGTGATGCCCCGGTGGATAGTTACTACATGTATGAAGTCTTGAAATCATGTCACTTAATGGTGTAGTTTGAAGAGTGGAGGATTTAAGTAAACCCCTTGTATTATTTCCTGAAAAGGTAAATTTACTTCCATGTTTACTGTTTCTGAACTTGCTGAACACAAGTGATTCAGTGTCAGTCTTTAGTGTAATTTCTATTCTTACGGGTTTACATTTGACTGAAGAAATTGCAATAGGTATGAATAGTGAGACAGATTTTTCTGTAGTGGTATCAGCCCAAGCAGATGAAGGGACTGTAAGTAAGGATATTTAACTTATTTTTGTTAATGACCCTAACTAGTTCAAAATGGTCAAGTACCAATTGAAATTTGTGAAGCGAATAGACAAAGCTATTTGCATTACAGTTGGTATAACATTTTTTAATCCTAGTGCATATGTTTTTGGGAAGCATATCAGAACTCAGCCCATAAGTATTGTGTTGTCTCAGGAAAGGTCCAAACCGTACACTTCTAAGTGAAAATCTTGTTTAGAGTCTTGTTAAAAGTAATAGGCAACCTAATTAAAAGGTGTCCCACAAAATTTGCACTAAATTAAGCATTTAATAACAGGTATGAAACTGGTTTTGATGAATTTGATTTCATTTGGTAGCAGAGTGGGCATTTGATAATTTCTACTGGTTTTTAAAGTCCTTTAGACATCTGGATTCAGTTTTCTTACAGTTTATGAAGGAACAAAGTTAAGGGGTATTGAAGTGTTTGCTTTTACGTGCAAATAAAACAGAAAAGAAGTGAATGTTCTTCTGTAAGTACTTTAATAATGTGTTTCTTACATGTTTTTGGCCTGTATATGTATATGAAACCATGCTGTTTGAAAAGGTTTCTGATCCTATCCTCCATTTAGCAAGTGGCAGATTGTTCAGCATCTTCATTTTAAATCATATATGGAAATATAAGAGGGGTTATGGGTTTTTTTCCCATATAAATATGAAGTTTGAAAGAAAGGCTTCCATTGTGCCAGTGCTTCCATAAGCCAGATGCATGATAGATGAAAATTATGTATAATAATATATTATCTTGATATGGTTTCTAGTGAATCTATGAGCCAAGAAAAATAATAGGAATATGTAGAAAATAGAGGGAGCATATGGTATTTCAGTGGCAGCATCCCAGAAAAGCCTTTTTCTACAAAAGGGGTTCTGCAGTTCTGGCAGCCTAGTTCCAGGCCATGTAATGGGAGCAATGTAATGGGGCCAGTTATGGTTAGTTCTGCTGGTCCAACTTTCTACTTTTCTGTGAAATTGCCTGTGTTTCAATTGGCAAATAGGTATTTCTCAGGAAAACTGACACTGACTTTTCTACCTTGATGCCCTTCTTGGCTGTGATCTTTCAAAAACTGAGTAATAGGATAGCTTGCAGGATGAGGATGTTTGTTGTTTTGGCATTTGTGATTAACATAGAATGTATTTGGCACCAAATAGCATACAATTGGTTTTGAGATTGTCCTTGCCTACAGTAAAAAATAATTGAATTTTCACATATTGATGGAAGTTTACAGTCTCTTGTAAGTGTTTCTCTGTAAATAGTACATAGTAGTACATAGTTTCATAGTTGAATCACATTCTTTTTGACAGTTAGGAGAAGGTTGTTTTTGAATTTGGGTTTCAGTCTAAAGCTGATAAAGGAAAATCTTGGGGATTGTCTAGCTCTGTGTTGGTACTTTTGCTATACATAATTCAGCACATGCAGGATTTCTGGTTTTAGATTTTGAATGCTTTATAATAATATTTTAACACTGAAGCTCTGCAAAAAGATACAGTTTAGAAAGCTGAGCTCAGTTAAGGTCTGAAATAAGAGAGTCTGTTCATATTCACACTCTTGAAAGATTGAGGCAGGTAAGGAATGAAAGTACATTTCTTTCTTTCTTCCCACCTTGTACCCTAAGCCTTTTGGGATTTATAAAGATAGATATTTAAGTCATATACATCTAAATCTATGATAATTTTTTTTGTGTGTGAGTGAACTTGCTCTTTATAAAGTGCAGAGCTTCTGCAGTGAAAAATAGTGGTTTATTTTTAGAAAATCTATGGCTACGAATTCATTTCCTTAGCAACTTTCCATCAAACAAACAGCCTGCTCTTCCTCCTTCCCAACCAAAACAAACTTAAACTGGCCTATTAATTTAGGCAGTTTTCCCATGAAAAATAGGTTCCCTGTCTCTGCCACAAGCATTTGTAATTTGCCAGGTCCCTGCAAAAAGTCTTCTTGCATAAAACACTAAAGGACATATTTTAAAAAATAACCATAATTTTGCAGTGTTAAGCTGGTGATATTTTTCCTCTGCAATTGTTATATTTCAGTTTTACAGAGTAAAAACTTTTGTTTCTTGTGCTCTGTCATGCATGCTTGCTCATTTTACTTGATTGTCTCTGTGAATTGCACAGCACAGTAAACTGGTATGTGTATTTACACTGAGCAAAGCTATTCCACCAGGAGAGGCAAAGGAGACAAAATTGGCAAGGAGCTTTAGGATTCAGCACAATGCAAACCAAAAATATTGCTGGTTAGAGTGAGTTTTTACACCTAAACTAAATTTAATGCTTCTCCAAAATATAGCTCTTTGTTGCACAGGATAGTACCAGTTGTGCTATAATGTAAGTTTCTAAAGTTTATGTGGCTTAACATGATCAAATCCTGTACAAATAGAGCAGTGAAAGAAGTTGCTAAGTATCCTTATGCAGGAAGCAAGTATCAAGTTTGCTGATAGTCATGTTGACTGTAGCCATGGACAGTTCAGCCTAATCATTTCAGCCAAGAGCTGACAACTCAGAAATTAAATCTTTGCTCTCTGTTTTAAAAGGAAGCAGGACTGACAAAACTTGTGACTAATCTTCCCTTTTCCATCTGTTTCCATATACCTGTTAGAATAGATAATTGTTCTGGCTCCTATTTTCCAATATGCTGAAATCCACCAAACTGCCCTTGCTATAACACAGTGTATTACATGTGTTCTGTTGACATTGATGACTCTATTGCAAAAGTACAGTAGTGAATATAAACAGATCTATGTTAATTTTAAGGTCTGCAGAAACACATGACAAAGGAATCAATTCTGAAGAGGAAAAGGACAGATATTGTAATGTCAGAAATTTTATTTCTGACATTTGAAGGTGATACTCTTTGGGTTTACTTTTTCAAATTAAGCTAATGCAAACGTCCTGTCTTTCTTTGTTTCAAATGCATCACCTTCCAGTGTCCCTTTCCCTCAAGAATGACAACTCCATAGCCAAAAGGACTTGTAAGCATTGTGTATTCAACAAAGTAGAGAACTGGGACCCAAAGTGTGATTGCTGCCTCTTTAGGCAGTTTAAGACAAAGAGTTTCTGCTGTCTAGATCCAAGAAGTTTTAAGCTTTAAGTGTGAAATCAGTACATTACTAATAGGATGATACGAATTTGATTTCACCTGCTTTCAGCCAAGAGAGAATATTACAATCTAGTCTGCCTAAAAATAAGTCCTAACACTTTCCTCAGTAACTTCCCCTTCATGTCTGTGGCTTCCATCTAAACTGTATCATCTTGCTCAGAAATGAAAATCCCAGTTCAAAAACTGCTGTTGAGGAATCTTTCAAATCATGTATTCCAGCAGCCTCTTAGTTTCACTTAGGAAATGTGTGTTATTTTTTCTTTAGTCTGAATAAAATGATACTGTTATCTGTATTGTCATAGTTCTCTTAAATATCTGGGTTTTGAAAATTGGATGTACTTGTTTGAGTGGGATAAAAAAACTCTCCAGAGCTGTGTCTGTTTCTGTATTGAAATTCTGCTATATATTTTGGGGAGTTGATTTAACATCCCACCAAGTCAGCGATTCCCAAGTTGGTTTTGTGTCTTTTGTCAGTGGGGATAGTTACACACAGTCTTGATTCTGTTTTTCTTAGACTCTGCTTTCAGACTTTTTTATGATGCATTCCTTATAGTAATTTTCAAGTAGTAAATGTAATTTCTATAGAAAATCAGAATATCGCAGTTTGACATAAAGTTATTTAACTTCCAGGAGAAGTTTTTTTAAAATGTTGCATTTTCACATTGTTTGAAATTTACACAAGCTTTTCTTTGTTAGGTTGGATGTGTGAGAGCTGCTTGTCTGCTCAAGCTCCTTCATGCGTTTCCAGGGCATTTCCACACAAATACGCTTAATCAGCTTTTAGAGGGAGTCTGTTCCGTAACGGGAATTCCCAAGTGAGCTGCAACTTTTAGATGAAAAGGAGGAGAAGCTTTTAAAAGGTTAGGTGTTTGAATTAGGAAGAGAGGATCTTAGGGGGAATACTTTGTGAAAAGTTTCTGTCCTTTTTCCATGCTGGTTTACATCTCTGGTTTAGACTGAACATTGTATTGGAAGGAGATTCAATCAGCTGTGTACTCTCTCCCAGTATCTCCAGGCTTTTGGGCCTGTGAAGTCCTCAGTAGCTCTTTTTTCTTGTATGTACACAGGGAGATGTTGGATGGATGGCAGTAAAAATGAGTGTCTGAATCATGAGTTGTGAAAGAAAGCACACAGCTTGCTTTCTCCATTTCCCTTTGTGTTAATTTAGATAATAATTTGCGTGTTTTGATTTTTTAAGTTTTATTTTTCTTCTGGAGTACCTGGAAAACACAGCAGGGGTTAGTGTGTTAAGAACCGAAGGAGTAAGTAAGAAAAGTGGTCTCTTTAACAGTATTGGACGTTTGTTCCTGTTATTTAGATACTGCAGTTTTGTTTTAGGAAGATGAGAGTGCTGGTTCTTGAATACATTTGTAAATTGAGACATTCATCCAGCTTCTTTTCACGCTAGGTGTCAGTGTTAACATACCTGTTCTGTAATCTCAGGTGTAGTCATTCCATTGTCCTTGTGGATACACCTGTATTTAGTTCTCAGTTACAACTTGTGGTCAAAATGTCAAGACAGTGATGGTAAATAGTGATTTGTATGTTGACCCTTAATGGTCTGTAAGTATTTATCTTGTGAAAATCCTTATCTTTTTACCCTCAATTGCACCAAGTAAACCTAGAAGAACCAGCTTGGTCCTTGTTAAAATGTCCGCTACAATCTTTTCAATAGCCAGATTTCTATTTCATCCAAGTTTTGACTAAGATAGCCTTGAAAACCTGAAAGATAGTAGATGGATGGTAACTGCATTATTCAAAATTAAATCCACTGGGATCATCCTAGTTGGGCTTTCATCCTCTGAAACTGTAAATAATTAGCTGACTAGAAGTAATTCATACGGTGTCTCATAAGGTCATCCGTTAATGTGTTACTTGAGCTATTGTGAGATTATGCAAAGGCATGTGGCTATTTGCCCTGTTTCTTTTGGTTTACAAAAGTTTTTTTTAAATTGCCTGTGTTTCATCTGAGGCTTTGTAATGCTGACCATAATGTAAATATCCTGGTGGTTGATAGTGATCTCAGGTATCAGGAGGAAGGGTCACTTCTCTACCTGCAGCTGTAACAGTAACCACAGCCCATCTTCTTGGATAAAAAGCCTCAGTGAAGGTATTGTGTTTAGTAATAACAAATGGTGTGACATGATGAGCAATGGAGTAAACACTGCTCTTTTTATCTCTTTAGCTGCGGTAGAACCTATTACTCTCTTACTCTATAAATTAACAGTTGTTTATTTACATTCTTTTTAGTTCATTTTTATTTCAGGGTTTTAGCTGTGAGTTTGTTACACTGGCCTCTTCAATAACACCTCTGTCCAAGAGAGGAGAAGGTGCCAAGTTTGGTATTTTGGGATCTGTAGCTCAAAGGAGGCATCAGTTAAGTTTGAGGCCTAAGGCTTTACTGAAATGTAAGTGCAAGTGTTTTTCAGGCAATTTAAAAGTTTTATTGGAAGAATAGACGTATGTTAAACATATTTGTGCTATTTTTTTCATAATGAGAAGTAGTACACCTCTAAAGTAACGCACTTACTTCTTGTAAGTTGTCAGAGGATAAGGCAGTGGCAGTGGGGCTTGGCAGGTTGAGTTGGGGTTCCTGTAGCCAGGGAACTTGCTGGCCACAGAGACCTGTACAGAGGTGGAAATGTTGAAGAGGTGCACCCTGTTTTGAATTTTTTTTTCTACTAATTAGGTGCTGCTAGCTTCCATTTTTGGATATATAAAGAAAGGAAGTATTACCCATATGATTAGAAAAACAGTTCTTTGTTTTTTTTATACAAAGTTTCTAAGACAACAGAGCAGAATTTGATTGTGTAATTCGCCTTTTGTTTTTGAGCGATGCTGTAGCACAAATTAGTTACAGCACAAATTAGCAAAATTAGCAAAGTTAGCAAGTACATTTTTCTAAGAGTAGTAAAGAGAAGCTAGAGTTTTCAAATTATTTTCTTTAATTTTAGAAAGCTGCACATATGCAGAAGTTGTGGCTGCTGTTGATGTGAACACTCTTGCCAATGATGTTTATAAGCATAACTTTCCCAGCACACCATTGTGGGCAAAGACTATTGAGGTGAGTAATTAATGTGGTTTTTACTGTAGTTTGGCATTTGTAAGATGTAAGTTGTTTTCACTGTCTTTATTAGTAACAAGAAAAACATAAAGATTTACGTTATTATGAATAAAGCAGTTTTACAATAACTTTGATTGCCTGTGCTGTGGTGGCTTGTTGAAGTAAGAAAGATATTCATACTGCAGGCTTTTCCTTAAAGTCTTGCCTGCTGCATCAAGAAAAGTTATATAAATGTCAAGAGGAATGCTTACCACTGGTAAAGGAATGTCAAAAATTATATTTTTAGATTAAAAAAAATATTTTCATGTACTTAAAAAAAAATTAATTAAATTACTTGGGGACATGCCTTTGTTCTGCAGTCATAATTGGGTTCAGAGAAACACAGCAAAATATATTGGATTGAACACTCTTGAATCCTTTTTTAATGGGCTCAATAGATAAAATGTTTTAGGAGTTCTGTCACTTGCCAAATTATTTGAAAAATAGCTAAGTAAAATTAGATTTTGTTTTAATAAATGAGAGACAAGGTAGGCATGGAGTTTTGATTGGATCGAGTCAGAAATTACCGTATACTTCTTAATCTTCTTTTATGGTTTTACAACATGACAGTAAAAGATACTGTGTCTGTTTTGAGACACCAGCTTAAGTAAGAGTTAAATAGGTGGCAAAAGGTTAAATGCTTATTCAGCACTCAATAATAACTGGCTAAACTATAGTTTATAGTTTTATAATGGAAAAAAAAGAAGAATCCTTGCCTGTGTCATTTTATAGTAGACAAGATCTGATTATTAGAGTCAATAACACCTTCTTCAAATATAATGGAAAAAAACAGCAGCTTTTGTTTGGTTTTCTGAGGGTAGCTATGTTATATTTGCTGTATAGATATCCCTCAGAATATGTAAGGAGTGATTTCTTTGCCCAAGTCATAGTTACCTGATCATTGTCCTTCTTTCCTCCTCTCCCCTTAATGTGTTGACTTTCTAATGTTGGTGAAAATTTAGTTTAGAGGAATTTCTACCTGTGTAGTTAATTCCTACCACAGACCTAATTATTTCTTTTATGAGCAGAATTATTTTTGTAGAGGAGAATTTCAACCAGACAGTATTTTTGACTAATTTTTATAGGGGAAAATCTGTGAAATAAACTTTATAGGGTGCATTGCCAGTGTGCTCTTAAGAGCTAAACCCCATTGTTTGGATCTGTAAAAATGATAATATTTACAGTTGAGCTACTTTCATTCTCAGATGTTCTTACACATATTTTGAGTATGTTAACACTGGTTTTGATGTACAAAGACTTTGTATCTGAATAATGATACTTTATTTTTGGGAGAAATAACAAGTCGGTATCTACTGAAGGAATCACTGCACACCTCAGGGAATGAGCGGATACAAACCTCAAGATTATGTATAAATGCTAACCTTATCAGTGTTTTGTTTTATATTCAGAGCACTGAATGCATATTTACATTTTATGGTTTTCCAAGGTAGAAAAGATTTTGAAATTGCTAGGTCAAATGAGAGATTAGGTATTTTTTTGCTGAATACAGCATGCAGTGGAAGTAAGAGGGATAGTTTTATCTAAAAGATGTCTTGGGAATTTCATACAGTTCACAACTCAACATTCTTCTATTTTTTTCTGTTGTCAGGGCATAACACTGAAAGAATTTGACAGATTATCTTTTGATATGATTTTGATGAGTCCTCCCTGTCAGCCATTTACAAGGTAGGTACAGAATGCTTGGGAGAAAAGTGCAGTTATAGCACTATATACGGTCAAAGGAGAAATGTTATCACAAGTGACACTATGTATGGGTGATCTGTGTATCTTTCTCTTCCTAAGAGATTTGTTGTAACTCTCTTCACCATGATGTTTACTGAAGCGAAAGAAGTGCAGCAATTTGCATCTTAATTGTTGATCACATTTCTTGCATATGTGTACATTAATTCAGTTTAAGTTAGGTAAGCTTCTTACAGCACCGATTTTGTGAACTGTATTATTCCTTTAATAGTGAAATTAGTGTTTAGGAGTGCTGCCTTTTCCTTTTAGATATCAATCTAATATTTTCCTGGGGCAACTCCAGAAGGAGGGTTGGAATTTTTCAGTTCTGTCTGAGACTTCAGAGTGTAATCTGGTTCTATTTGTACTTTGAAAATTGCACATGCACACAGATAGTTTATTCTGAAGAATATTTCTATTTTAGCCAAGACCAGAAGGATAATGACTTTGAAATGATTTTGTGGATGATAAAGAGAAATATCTTCCTGATTAAGGACTGAGTTTACTGAGATGTTATTTGTCAGATTAATTTGTAATTCATATCATTAGACAGCAGTAACCAGTGGGCTAAGATTCTAGTAACTGCACTCATGCAAAGTAGTGGCTTCATGAAAAAAGTCTGTTGATGATGATAATTCTGGTTGTGTAAGAAAGCATATGTCATTGAATGTTCTAAGATTGAAAAGAAATCTCTAGAGTGGTGCTGATCTATAAAAATGAATTAGTGCAAACCTATGATGTATACAGTAAACATTTCAGATTTTTTTCTTTATAATACGATGAAAAGAAAAATCTGCGTGACTGATTAATTTAGATGCATGCTAAAGCTCACTAAAGCTCTTCTACAAAGCTTTTATTTATTTTTTTTTAATGAGCTAATACAAGTATAAGCTAGGGAAACAGGCGTGGAATCATTATCATTTTTGTAACCTACATAATCTGTACAGTTTAGTGTTACAAAATTGGTTCCGAAGTTATTCACATGGGGATCAATCCTGCTAAACGGTGAACAAAGAGGCTTTAATTCATAGAAATAATTTAATATATTCAGTGCAAAATAGCAGGGTATTCCCAGAAACACAGTGGGGGTTTTTTGTTCATTCAGAGCCAAGTATATTCAAAGGCTTTGCTGGACAAGACCAGAATGCTAAAGACTTTGCAGACTGGGAAGTGGATTTCATTACCAAATGCTTCAATTTTAACCTTGCAGTGAGCTGATGGATTCCAGGGGCAGACTTTCATTCCTTAGAGCATCTCTCAGGACACTGCCTCTGTCTGTACGTGATGCTTTTGCAGAATCCCCTTTCAAAACTCAAAGCAAAGTGTCAGCATTCTGTAGAAAAATGTAACTCAATTGTCAGTCTGCTCTGAGTAATACATTGGTGTTTCTTTATTCTCTCTTAGAATTGGCCTGCAAGGTGATGTGTCCGATCCACGGACAAAGAGCTTTCTTTATATCCTTGATATTCTCCCAAGGTACAAATGAACTTCTATTTCCATTGTAAAGCCCCTTTTGTAACTAAGGCTTTGTTGTAACTAGGTCTTCTGTATTTCTGTGAAACAAGACATCTGTAATGTTTTAGAGGGATACTTCTAGTGTTGTGTTGTATTCTGGGTTTTTATATGTTTTTATATATATTTATATATGGGTACATATGAGCATATGTAACTTACGAAGACTTGTATTTTACTAATGCTGTAATCACCTCATTGTTGCTGTGTATGCTTTTGTTGTCTGGTTTCTGCATGCCAGTTTAAACTGTGCCTAGATGATAAATGAGAAGAAAGAGTTCTTTTCAGTTAAACATCAAATTTGCATAGGTTTTACATAGAAGCAATAGGTAATATAATAGTTTGTATATTAGTCTCATGGAAACATGACAAGTTTTTAAAATACTGGGTTCCAAAAGCTTAGATTCAACATACAGTCATCTTTCAAAGAGTTACCATTTGAAAGTTGGTTTAAATATGTTATTGACTGTTCACCGTTAGTCATCTTGCAATGTCTTCTATTCTTGAAATCTCTGTCCTTTTTGGTGCTGCTAGGTATCTTGGGGCAAACTGTGTATTTTTGGTTGTAGCACAATGTCTTGTTTGGGGTAGTAGTACTAAGGAATTGGAATAGCACTGTATTGTCTGAATAGAGTCTTTGTATTAATCTGTCATTTTTTGCCTGGTCAGATCCAGTTCCTAATAAAAAAGCCTTAATTATTTGTATTAATGGCAGTCCTGTGTCACCTGGAGACTAGGACAGCTCTTCCCTGTATATTCCTCCATGAGTTCATCTTGCTGTAAGGATTGGAGAAGGACAGATGAATGTTTGGTATCTCTTTTTTTGTTTTTGTTTTTGTTTTTTTTTATGAATGCCTTCAACACAAAAGGAAGCCAGTACCAAAAAGCCTTTCTTTCAAACTGCTGTTATCACTGGGAGAAAAGGGTTTTCATCCTTGTTCTAGAAACTTCATGCAGCCAACAACCTGAAATGGAACTGTCTATGCCCTTGCCATGAGCAGAGAGAACAATGCCATGTATGGCTGAGTGGCTTGGCAAGGCCATACCTAAGAAATCTGTGTCAGAGAACACAGAATAAACCACAGATATCGTAGCCCAGTAAGTGAGGCAATTCTTAGGTAATTGCTACTCCATTGCTTCTGTCAGACACACAAAATTAGGTGGAGAACGTGGGTTGTTTAGAAGTTGCAAAGGATGTCTTTTGTGGAGTAAGAAATGTAACACATGTTTCTAACTGATTGTTAAAATGATAAATAAATAAAAGGCAGTTACTGAGTAAGTTAATAATTTGTCAGAATAATAGTACTTTCTATATCCTTAAAGGCATCCTGACCTGGGGATTCCTTTCCATTAAACTGAGACATGGTTAAGAGGCTGGCTGGTTTTGGACATTATAGTGCATGAATATGAAAATATTGCTTCCCAGTTGCTGTGGGCTTAGCTGCATGAACAGCAGAAGCTTTTCCTTCTCAAAACCAGAGCTTTAGACACTCCAGGACCTTTATTTTTATCATGACGATGCAAAAGACCTGGGCTTGGCTGTCTCACTTTTATCTCAGTATTCCAGGAGACACTGCTAATGTCCCTTATCTCCTTGGGGAGGGTTCTTGAAGTAGCACCTACTCCAAGTAGTCACTAGAAGGTTCACCATGATGGCTTCTGTAGAGTTTCTCAATTCCAGTGGATTTGTGTTTTACTAAGATAGTACTTATGTGTTTTTTGAATATGATACATTTGTGAGACATTGAGTATGGAGTACTTCAGCCCCAAAAAAGGAAATTCTTAATATAGGAATTATCCCTTTACATTTTACATTGATATGGTATGCATGCAGTTTATGAAAAGTGTGAAATAATTTCTTATCCCTTGGATGTACTTACCTTTTGTTCAGCCTTTTATAATGAAATATTGCTGAAATGAGGTTCAGAGGTAGCCTGGGATGACAAATATTAGAGATAATGGAAAGGACAATTTTAAGATCTGGAAAGGCCTAGGAAATCCTTGAAGCACTCAGCCAGCAAACAAAGTCCAATTCAAATGGTCCAGATACTGTCTGTTTATTGTGTCCAAGCCATAACCTGGCAAAATTCAATGCTAAAACATCAAAGTGCTGCTTTTACAGAAACATTTTTAATGTTAATACCTTGCCGACTACTTAACACTTCCTTGTTGTACACTGATTATTTTCCTTGTGATCTGTCAATCCCCTATGAGTGCTTGCATTTCAGGCTGTGCTCTGGATTCATTGCTGAAAAAGAAGTTTCATAGTAGTCAATGATGAGGAGTGTGGGTAGACATACCAGCAGATATATTCTCCATTCCTCTGCAAGGAATTTGGCTGCTGTTGCTTTTTTCAGCTTAGTATTATTTTTTCACTATTATTTTTAGTATTTTTATATTTGACTTATTTTCTTGCACATTTTCCAGTTTCTTGGAATGCATTGGTTCTTTTATTCATGTGATGACTTTAATTAGTGGTAATTAAAAATGTGCTGAAACAAATTCTGCTATGATTCGTTCCAGTGGAAGTCGAAAGTCACTAACTTCAATAAGTATGAACCTGCTGTCTGGGGGCATTAATATCCTACTTCTGTATGTTGTTCTGAGATCCTCCCAGTGTGTGAGAGACATTCTGTGTCTACAATGGCCTTACTACAGTGCTACAGAATGTTCCCAGAGACTTGAATCTGAATCAGTCTGAATCGTGCTTCTAAATTGTTGGAACGATTGTTAGAGCTGCTGGCACAGTTTGGGCATGTCAATTTCTCCAGAAATTTAATATGCTGTTCTTGGAATGTGCCTATTTCCAGACCTTTTTACAGATCTTGCTAAAGCTGAGACACCTCCTTCCCTTCCCCCCATCAAAATAAAGAAGTCAAGTTTAGAAAGTTGAGAATATCTGCAGTTTGAACTCTAATTATGTTGTGTTTCTTAAATCAGTTAAATTAATACTGGTTCTGATGTGTTATCAGTAAGGTTTATGTGACATTTTGACATTGATTTTGGGTACAAGCACTTGAAAACAACAGTTTTATGTTTTATGGCTTAGTAGCAATTTGTGTTCCCCCAACAGTTATATTTCCTATTACATACTGAATCTGTTGAATAATATTATTGTGCTTTAGGAAATGAACAGTGTTAAACATTTTCAAAAGTACATGCATGGAGTACAAGATGGTACAGCTGTTCATCCAAATATAGGTGGGATTTGTGGTTTTCTCCAGCAATCTGCATTTTTAATATGGTTGTTTTTTAAAGGATGCTAAACTTTAACAGCTAGCATGATGTGGAAATACTTTGATCTTTTTCCTAGCTAAACAGATCAGTGGATGAATATAATGTACGTTACAACTTGTTACTCTAATTTGCTTTTTTTTCCTTGTAGGCTTCAAAAGCTTCCAAAATACCTACTTTTAGAAAACGTTAAAGGATTTGAATCCTCTTCTGCCAGGTAAACTCTAGTTAATATATGCAGGTTTTAGTTTGCAAAAAGGTTTCTATTCTAGAAGGAGAAGTGATTTATTCTTTAGAAGGGATTTTTATTTCCTAGCATTGGAGTTAACAAAGTAGTTTGAGATGGGACAGGAATTAAAATCTTAGGTTGTGAAAAGAACTTGCTAGATAACCTGTTATGTCTCTAAGCAGATAAAATACAACAGTATTTTATTTTTTTATATTATTTTATGTTTATTTGATTTGATTTGATGTTTTCTTTAGAAAAGGTCAGAATTTGTTTTCAAAGAAAAATAACAAAAGGTGTAACACTCAGAGGTTTCAGAGGATTGTTCATGACAGGATGCCATGGTATCTTTTGTTATGGTCACAGAACAGTCTAGCAGCTTTCTTGAGTATCTTTGTTGATCGTAGATTATCCCTGGGTTCAGGGCTGCCATTAAATGGTCAGAGAGACACTAAGAAGGTTCTTAGTCTGAAATATGGAAGAGGAAAGGTGTCACTACAGTTACCTAATGACAACAGGTGCACTCTCCTCTCTTGTGACCAAAGTAGGAGAAAGAGAGTTGCAATCTTCCTTCTCAGTTCTTGCTGGAATAGAGTGGGGTCTTTCCATGCACTCCTTAAAGCACCAACAGCCACCTTGCATATCATGCTCTTAATGAATTTGGCAGGCAGCTGGGAGACATTGAAATCAGCTCTCTCACTGGTTCAGTGATCACAGTCCTCTCTTGTAGAGCCCAGGATTCCTTGCCTTGCTGGCCAGTGCTTGGGACAAGCTGTGCTTCAGAAAACACCTCGGTTATGACACTTGTTTTCTCTTACGACACCTGGGATGCAGTCTCACATGCAGTGCCTGGTACGGGTCACAGCTCCTGCCTTTTGTATAGTTCCAGCCTAGTGCTGTCTGCGTGGAATACAGAAGAAAAGTATTTTTAAGATTCTTTCCCTTAAGTCTTTTTCCATTGTTTATAAAGTAGTCCCACCTCACTTTTATAATCAAAGCCACTGATTTTTGTCATCCCTCAACTTAGCCTTTTTGTTAGGCTTGGCTGGTGCTGTGTATGTGAGCAAAAGGAAGTAGTGAGTCCCAATAAAGAGACTATCTTGCCCTCTGATTGCTTTCCTTGTTGACACATTACAATTATTCTCCTAGAGATGGGATGTTTTTTTGAAGAGGCATTTGCACTGTAGTAAAAGTGAGGTGCCATTGAATGTATAATAGTGTGTAACACTGAACTTCATATGTTATCTCTCAAATTCAGTAATGGATGATGTATCAATAATTTGCTGTCCAATTATTTCAATGAATGTTTTGGTAAATATGATGTTGCATTTTATCTGTTTTTATTTAGGATTAAAAAAGGGGCTAATGGCTATGTGAGGGGAGTAAGTGCTTTATTATTCCTTTCAGAAATGAACTTTTGCAAACACTAGGAACATGTGGATTTAAATATCAGGAATTTCTCTTGTCTCCAACCTGTGTGAGTACTAAAATTGCTCTAATATTAGTTAATAGTTCAAATTGCACTGAGTCCAAGAAAATTTGAAAATTCTCTTTTGTATTAAAAAAGAGAGTCATGCCCAAAGCTGAAGATACACTTGAATGAGAAAACCAACTGACATGACTTCTAATTTCTCATACTGGCATATTCGTATTGCTGTTTGTGTTCAGATCCTAGTCCCATGTTGCTTTGCTGCCATTTGATATTTTTAAGAAGGCATGAATTTACACTGTAACCAGGAAGGTGGTTTTCCCTGCAGGAGCCTCATTGCTTCAGAAGTGCTGTGCCTCTGGATTTCCCAGCACAGAAAATGTGACTGTTTCTTGTGGGAGGAGGAGCTTTGTTTCCATGTTACCTTGGCAACTGAAAAAAAGTTTGAGAGTGATTTTAGATTGTGCAAGACTAACTGGAATCAGTGAAGTACCATAAATATTTGAGAGACGCTAATCAAGTGTAGCTTGAAAACCAATTGTGGTAGATTTTTTTAATTGTTAGATGTGTTATAATTCCTTGTTCAAAAAGGCAAAGAGAGACTTTTTTGCTTTCAACAGGAAACAGATAGTACCTGTCCCAAGAAATCATGAGGCATGTAAATTTTTCTTCTTGCATCACATAAAATTTTCTTCATATTCAGTTACAGAGAAAGTCAAAACTATGAGATACAAAGTATAATTGCTCACTTGGTTCTTTGGAAGTACCTAGGTATGGAAGTTACAAGTGTGTAGGTGTTATCAACTAATACCCAGAGAATACCCTGGAAAAAAGGAGGCTTCAGGGTGACCTAATTGGAGCCTTCCAGTACCTGATGGGAGACTACAAGACAGAGGGACTTTTTACAAGAGTCTGAAGTGACAGGACAAGGGGGAAATGGATTCAAACTTAAAGAATAGTTTTAGATTATAATCAGGGGGAATTTCTTTGTGATGAGGATGGTGAGGCACTGTAATGGGTTGTTTAGAGAAGCTGTGGATGCCCCATCCCTGGAAGTGTTAAAGGCCAGGTTGGATGGGGCTCTGAGCAGCCCAGTCTAGTGGAAGGTGTCCCTGCCCACAGCAGGGGGCTTGGAACTACATGACCTTCAAGGTCCCTTCCAACACAAACCATTTTATGAATCTCTGATTCTGTGAATACTGATATCTCTGAAGTCACAAAATATGTTATAGTTCTGTTACTGCATGTAGTGGCAGATAACTTGTATACTGCTATAGACCACTTTTTCTCAACAATCACATGGACTAAAGGCTTCTGAATTTTGATTACAGCTTGGCATTCCCAATTCTAGGCTGCGGTATTTTCTAATTGCGAGGCTTCACCAAGAACCATTTTCCTTTCAAGCTCCTGGTCAAGTGAGTCTATTCGTGTTACTTGAATTTATTCATTTCATGAAGATTGAGGGTAAAATTTTCAGTTTGTGTTGACGAATGGAGAAGAAGAATTAGTACTCCAACAGAAAAGTTAAATTCTGTGTGCTTTTTTCAGCCTGGATATTGAGCTTTGTAAGAACTGATGTGCATGTCTGTTGCTTAGATGGCTTTAAACAGTTGGGAGATGTGTTTTCTAGCCTGGTGATGGGCTAGAAAACAGGTCATACTGCTACATTTTTTACACACTTGGAAAAATCTTTTTGCAAATGCAATTATTTGAAGTTGTTCTGACATCATTGCCAATAGATCAATAAATCTCAATGCTATTGTGTTTGAAAACCTCATGAAAATAACACCTAAAGGTTACTTGCTTTATTCTGAACATATCTGAAGGAATTTTTACTCACTGTATGGTTGGCTGTCAAGTTGTTTATTAAATACAGTTCTTTAATTTTATTTTTGTCACAATTTCCTCTTAGATATTGACAAGATTCCCAGATCAGGATCCAGAAGATTTACTCAATGAAGAGGTTGCTGACACAGTGGGTGAAACCAGTTCTTCTTCTTTGTCCTCTGAAAAGAAGAATCTGCATCCAAACATTGATCCAGATTGTAGCAGCAAGGAGAGTTTACCAAAAAGGGCCTTTCTATTTAAGCTTGAAACAGTAGAAGAAATGCAAAGGAAACATAATCAGGATAACGATTCTTCTATTCAAATGCTGAAAGACTTCTTGGAAGAGGAAAATGAAGAAATGACTCAGTATTTTTTATCACCAAAGTCCTTGCTGCGCTATGCTTTCTTGTTAGACATTGTTAAACCCACCTGCCGAAGATCTACGTGCTTTACAAAAGGGTAAGTTGCCAAGAAAATGTCTTGCTAAATCATGTCCTGAAATTTTAACTGTATTTTCTCTCTTATGTCCAGTAAAATCACAGAGAGGTTTCATCAAAAAATCCTAGGCCTTTGAAAGAAATTTCCATATATAGCGTGCTTGTTGGTCCAATGGAATGCCTGCATGAGAATCTGTCTGGCAGAACATCATGTGCCCACTCCAAAAAGGCATTCACAAAAGACAGCTCCCATTGTTGTTGACCTTCACAGAAGCTTAATTACCCCTGCGGAAATATGGTTCCAGTAGACTGGTATAGTGCTGATTCATTAATGAATTTCTTTATATTGCTCAATGAAGTTACAAAGTGTCATGCATGACAGATCCATTCCTCATTAAATCTGTCTCCACTGTACATTTTATTGATTTCTTGGATTTTTCAGCTATGTAGATCAGAACAGCTGTGGATTGTCATGAAACCAGTTAGGTTGTTGTGTTAAAATCATATTTGATGGAGCAGAACATTGGTGCTTTTCTGTCTGTGATTTGTACCTTGCAAATTTAAGTTTGACTTCTGGAAGTTGGTGAGTGTTCTGGAACTCCGTGAACAACTGGTGAAGAGCTTTTCCAATGAATGCATTTGTATTGAAACATTCCAGTTGGAGCCTGCAAGTTCATGAGACTTTTTAATGCTGATAAATTTTTACAGTTGGATTTGTTTTTTGAATTTGCTGAGTGTTTCACTAAAATGGCTTGGATAATGAGTTAAAGCTAATTGTAACTTTTTTTAAATTAGTAGCAATTAGACTGCCAGATTGACAGAATTCCTGCAGATTTTTTTTATTTTTATTTTTAACTTTTAGACAATAAAGAAGAAAAATCATTTCAAAAGTTGGAAATTCATGCAATGGGAAAGGCCTTCTCTCAGCTCTCATTGATATATATGTATGTGTCTTTTCTGCCCTCACTCTTTTGAGTTGAGGAGAGTCAGCAGCTCATGGAATCTCTTTCTTAAGTAGTCAAAAAAACCCTTTAGCCAGAATAGTGTCTGATGTGTCTTACATATGCCTTACGTGTCATTGAAAGTAACTGGCCACTTGTGATTTCACTAGAATACGTCATGGTAGTTGGTGGTCATGTTTATCAAAATCACACTGAAGGAGGCTCCTGAATAGTTCATATCAAGTCTCTGTACACAGCAGTGGAAATCTGACAGCAGGGCAACATGACTCTTATCCCTCTGCTGATATGGAGGTACTTGTGGTGGTAATTCTGTCTGATTTACCATCTTTATTCTGTATTTCAAGAGCCTTTGGGAAGGAAGGTTGCCAGCATGGTTCTCAATGTAATCATCTCGTTTACAGCTCTGTATTAAGAGAAGGTTTATAATTACATTTCATTTAAGTCACTTTCGGAGGCCAAGAATAAGTCCCTGCTGTATCTGTTCCAGAAGTTGTTTTCATGTTTCTCTGAAACATGAGATCTAGGAAAAAGACCCCTGAATGGGGTGGAACAGCCCTCCAGGTAATACAGAGAATCCCTCTGCTGCTGTGCCTGTCTGGTGTCTTTCTTGTAAGTTGCACTGGCCATCAGCTTTGAGAATGGGAGAAAATTTTCCCTCTTTTCTCTTTGGTTTTCAGGTATTTCTAGCAAGGTTCATGTGATGGAAATAATCTGGGTATGGCTCCTCTAGTCCTTACTGATTTTTGCTGTACCAGTGTATCTTTTGAAAAGCTTTGGTGGAGCAAAATGTAATGGCCTATAATGTGGGAGAGATCAAGGAGGTAATTCTGTGTGCCCTTCTGACACTGAATTCCTGGGCACTTAGTGAATGATTGCTGAGTTCAGGGAGAATACCAACACCATGGTTTCTCTTGGGAATATGTTTGTGGCAGATGAAGTTTTGAAAGGAAATTGACTATTTTAAAGGACAGAGAAAATGAAAATTATATCTAACTTCTCTAGATACGATCATTCTGGACATACTTAAAATTTTTGATACGCTATTGACATGAGAAGCGATACCTTTCAAAATAGTGCAGATACCAATTACAGAAGAGCTTTCTCACTTTGTGGAAATTACTTTTTGTCAGTCATAATATATGACACAATGTACCCAGAAAAAATACACGTATGAAATGAGAAGATTTTTTTTTTTCAAAGCTTACAGAAATAAAAGAGGGAGAGAATCTTGAATCAGATGAAAATTGAAGAAAAATTTCTTAAGCCAACTTCTTTCATTATCACTTGGAATGAAATGTCAGAAAATCAATACTTCATTTTTTTACTGTGACAAAATTTAATTATGTTAATAAATATTGTTCTGGGTCTAAGGTAGGAATGTTAACTTTACCATGGTCAGCAGCTTCAATAATAATTAATGACAATCCAGCTAACATTAGCCATATGCCCACATTTGTATGAAAAACACACACACAGCCATCAAAGCACATGGACACCAACTGGACTTTTTTGGGGGGGCAGGGGGGAGGAGTTCTGTACTTTAATGCAAGTTATTTAGACAGGAGTATTTATTTCTCCCAATGAAACTCTTCAATACCACTTTGAATTTTATCCCATTTATTTATTTTGGCTCAGTTTTATTAAACTGCACTATTACCAGATGCTATATAAGAGGAAGAGGATGAGAATTCCTCAGTGCTGTGTGTGTTATATTGTTAAACTTGGTGTTTGGGGAATTTGCAGAATGCAGCTAACCCATTAAAGGTGATGTATTTACAAAACAGTTAAGTTCTATGTGTATTTAATCTGTAACAGTGTTTAGGTCTTCTGATCTCGAGGAAGATTTCTAACCACTTTGTTTTAAAATGGGTGCTGCTTTGGCTGTTACTGGCAGATCTAATTGTAGTTTTTTCAGCTGAGGATGAAATACTCAAGACTGAGCCATGCTGGGTAATTGTGTCTGTGCTGAAGGATGAGTATTCTTTCATTCACTGTGGAATTAGAGAGGCTTGAAACATAACTTGTGCCATGCTTTAAGAATGGGTCCCAAGTGGAACAAAAGACCTTTATAATTGTCTTTATAGTTATACACATTAAACTAGAGAAGAGTGTCTGTTAACAATTGATGCAGACCACATCCCTCTAAGGCAGGGGATCTTCTGAAGTTCTTCCACAGGGCAAAGCCATCTGTTGTCTTGACTCACTCTTTCTGTTCAGAATGTTCAAATTGCCATAGTTAAACCAACAGAGCATGTTTCTGAAAGCCCATAATTATATTTAAATGATAGCCTTGAAGAGACTACAGAGTAAACATCTTAAGCAATCAACCACCAAACATGCAGAACAGCTATCATAGGTTTCAGAATGAAAGTTTACTTACTGTTTACTTGGATTTAATTTTTTTCTTCTTTCTTTCTTCTACTGCTCTGCATAGATGCCTGGCCATCTCCCTTCCTTCAGTGGAAAATCCACCAGGAAGCAGAAGTTAAACCTGACCGAAGCACTTTGTTCCTTTGATGTGAAAGCTGGAGGCTCACACTAGTGGTCCTCCTTTTAATAAGGAGAGCTGATTTGAACCCCTGGGGCCATTTGACCATTAATGCATTTTTCCTTAATGTAAAATTGGTTTAGGCAATGTAGATGTTGGTTTTTGGTGGTCCTATGCTTGAATTCCTTGGCTGTGTGTAGTTGCCATGCATAAGACACTAGTGTGGATAAACCCTTGAGCACTGAGGGCAGACTCATCCCCAGAGAGCACATTCAGAGGGTACTGCACTCCAGGGGTTAGCAGAGTTTATAACAAGGCTTTCTGTTTTATCTATCCAGGAGGCTGTTTGATCATCCAGGCAAAGGAACCCAGATAACCTCCCTGTGTCTTTGCAGTTGTCAATGCTATGAAATCCTGTGAAAATATTAATTTCAGACTGTTGTTGTTGTTAAGGTATGGACATTATGTAGAAGGGACTGGCTCAGTTCTGCAGACAGCAGTTGATGTACAGGTAAGTATGTAGTCTAACATAGAATGACTTGTTTTTAAAACACTAGACTTCTTCCAAAACTTGTGTTTTTTTCTGTCTTCTCTATTGTTGTTCTGAATATTATATGAAAAAATCTTTTGAATCTACATTTTATGACAACTGAGTTGCCAATTGGTTTACTTTGTGTTCCTAGGCAGCAGTTTGTCTAGACCAAAATTATATCTGTGTCTCTCTGTGAGGAGAATATGAGTTGCTATTAATGTATTATCTGTCATGTCATACAGAGGTTTCACAGGGATATGTGAAAACCTTAAAAATTACTAGTCCTATGGAGAACCTACAGTACACTGTTATGAATAATGGGCTGTTTTTTGTACATATATTGTTCAGTTAATATTGTCAGATGTTTAACATGTTTGACTTTCAAAATTTTTTTGAAGAGTTCTACTGCTGGTAGTAAGTTCATGACTAAGTGGTATTTAGGCATTGGGGAAGGTAATAAATGTTCTGGTTAATCAGCATTCAAAGATACTTTTCACAAAGCCTGTGTTGTACACAAGCCCTTCCTCCTGCACTTCTGTGCTGGTCAATGATATTATAGGGCATTTCCAAGCATAAGAGGAATGCAGCTCTGGAATTCAGAGTAATCTCAAAGTGAGTGTATTAAAACAGCTGCATCCACACAGCTTAATTTGTATGAATAGTCTGGTATTGAGTTATATTAAATCACTGTCCTTTGTCATTAAAAAATGTTTATTTTTTGATTGTCCCATTAAGTATTGGTATAGCTTGGAATTGGAGGAAGAAATTATGAATGTCCTCATGGCAACATTGATTTCTTTCTTGAAAGTCCATGTGTTGAGATGTTGGCTGCAAAAACAGAATGCAAATGACGCTTTCAAGCAAAACATGCTGTTGTCTTTGTCACTTTGTTAGTTAAAGAAATATTCTATTAACATGTGACTGTAAATTTTACATATTTAGCCTGCATCAGTCATATTTCTTGGTTTTAATATTCTTCATAGCTTGAATCAGTGTTTAAACACATTGACGAGTTACCAGAAGAAGAGAAGCTTATGAAATTGTCAACACTAAAACTGAGGTACTTTTCCCCAAGAGAAATAGCAAATCTTCATGGATTCCCTTCAGAATTTGGTATGTGCTGCAAAATACCCATTTCTACATTATTCTTCAGAAATGCCAATGTATGTTTTGTTTTTTTTTTTTTACTGGGACTAATCCAATCTTTTTATTTTGCATTTCTTTCAGACCGCTCAGTTCTTATGATTGGTTGATTCTCATTGTTTGGCTAAATTTTGTTTCTCTAAATTTCTACTTTTTTTTAATGTTTTGTAAGAGACAGCTTCTGTGGTGAGGTCTATATTTATTTTATTTATATAGCTTTTCTTCATAAGCTAAGAAGAAGGTTTTGGCATGCAAAATGCTCTGTTAATGAAGCGCAATGAAGGAATACCTTTGTTAAAAGTTGAAACTATTTACTCAGCAGCCAGTGTTACTCACAAATGTGGTAAATCAACATATCCTGCCAGCTTAGGAAGTCTGTTTGTGGTTCTCAGTGTTTGAGCTGCCTGCCTTCTCCCTTCCACACATTTACAGCTGCTGACAGGGAATTTCAAATGATACAGATAGTTCTTTGTTGAGGAGTTACCAATCTATTGAGCCATCTCTATTTTCTGTAAAAGACAGTTCTTAGTCAGTTACTTCATTTTCTAAGTGGTTTTCTTTTTGAAGAAGAAGGAGTCAAGCAACAAGACTCAGCAGTATCAGTACACTATATACACTTCAATAAGAATTAAAACTGAAGTAAATTAATCAGAATTTTCTTTGTAAAAAAGGGAAAGCAGCTGTTACTGTAAAAGTGTAGCTGTTACTATCTGCTAAGAAACTGTCCTGCTGACATCAGATCAATTTATTGTCAGTCAGCAAGAAAAGCATCCATGGAATCATCGAAAGGTTTGTGTTTGAAGGGACCTTAAACATGATCTATTTCCAACCCCCTTCTGCTAAACCAGATTGCTCAAAGAATAAGACAGCACTGACCTTGAGTAATTTGTCATTTTTTGCTTTGACTTCTGCAGTAACTTAGAGTTCTGAGAAATGTGATTTGTTTCTGTGTATTTCTTTCTTTCACAGTTTTAGTTTGTTTTTTCATATATTACTTGTTATATTTGAAATTGCTACATTTGGAGAATATTATCAAGGTTGCAGAGTGAAGCTAGAGTTGCCAGCACTAAGCTTAGGTGTTTATGAATATAAACACACAAGAGTGTGCTGTGTTGTTACTTACCAACATGCAGTGTTTTTTCATAGCCTCTCTTCTTTAATGGATCAGTTCTATTTTCAGACAGCCTTTTAGCACAACTCTCTTCCATATTCATGTAGGCTGATGTCAAGATACTTGAACTTAACAGAGCTGGATTTGGCTTGTATAGGCTTATCATGCTGCTCAAGGTCTCTTTTGAGCACCAAATTTCCCATTTTCTCTTTTTTTAGATACAACTGGGGTTTTTCCACTGTTAAATCAGTCTCTCCAACATTACTGAGAGGTGCAATAGGGTTAATGTTGCTTGTATTTTACAAAGGGAGAACTGAGACAATGGAGAAATTTATGTTTGGAAGGCTCCATTACTTTGGGGTGAGCAGTTTGTGAAACCTGACTTTCATGGTTTCATAGTGCTTGGAGTGATACCGTGCTTTCTGTTCAGAGCTCATCTGCAGAGACATCTGTGAGGTTCAGTATTTTTGCAAACCAGAACTGAACTCTGAAGACAAGTCAGGCTTTTGAATTTGAGGATTATCCAGATCATCACCATATAACAATATGTTCATGTAGCAGACCTGTCTTTTGTTGGTTGGGATTCCACCTCTCAGAGGGGAGTACCCTTTTGCCATAATTATGGCAGGTACTATTATAAATGTTTTACAATTCTTGCAGTTCCCTTCCCTCTCTATATTGCTTTTCCAACTTTGATGACACATAAAGCAAGCCTCTCTCATTCAGTGGTTTCCTCTCGAATATACTCCTGAGTCATAGGCAGAACATGCATTTCCCCCTGCACTGAGTCACAAGTCTGACATTTCTTTGTGTTTAAAACTTCTCCCACTTTTTGCTTAAAAAAGCGTTACTTGAATCTTGGCTGATAGAAGTCTTTAGTGAATTTAGGTACTGTAATCTCAGTTTCCTTTGAGAATTTGCAAGCTCTGTAATTTTTTTTTGGAAGTGGATATATTTATGGCTGCAGCAAAGGGTGTTGCCCTGAAAACATTTCTCCCATGCTAAACTTCAAGTAATTATTGTGAAATATGGTATTTTCAGAGCAAAATGTGTTATAAGTTCTCTGCTACTGTATTCTGTAGTGACAGCAACATTTAGGTTGAAATTTTCAAAACTGGGAAGCTTGGAATTGTACCCACTGCAACTATGTTATTGGTGCAAGAAACTGAAGAATGAGGAAACTGTAAACTGAAAACTATGTGAACAGACTGTCAGGTTCTTTGTAACAGATGCTGTTACTAGTGCAGCTACAGTATCATCAGAAGAAATGTGATTGTCTAAATGGTTCTGCATTTTAAGAAGTTGATGGCCTTTTCTGATATGTGAGGTCCAGTCATTGTTCATTCTTAACATGACCTGATTTATTTGTGCTTTTAACATCTAAATGTATAAATAGTAATTGCACTATAGTTCTATGAAATACTGCAGTCATTTGTCTTTGTCACTCTGGTGGGTCCCACAGCAATATCATTAAATGTGAACAGAGCATTCTTGCACCTGTGACCTGCTTTCATGAGAGTGATGTAAGGATGTGTTTTCCATTTTTCTTATTAGCAATGTATGCAAGCTTTTAGGAAACAAAAGCCAGCATGGTAGGGAAGTACATACATGCTGCTAAGATGTCAATGTCCTCAGGTACTGTGTGTGACATAAATGCTACAGTGAGAGCTGTGCAGCAAGTACCAGCATACTGGGAGTTGTTGAATCTAACCTGATGTAGGCCACTGTGGAGCCAAGAAGATAGAAAGTGCAAGACAATGTTAACAGTCAGAGGGAGGAGGCTTGGGATAAAGGAAACCACAAGTTCTGAAGATGAATTCTTGGCTTTCAGTTGCCAAAAGGTAGAAGGAGAAATTCTGACATTTTCAAGGTTCAAATAGGCTTCTTGGGCTGTAAGTGTTTGTGTGTGCACATGTGTGTATGTGCATAAATACATATGTATTTTCATGTATGCTCTTAAAATGCCTTTATTCTGTACCTTACTCATCAATGGAATGTGAAAACTCTATCTAAGGAAGCATGTATGGGAGTGCAAGTGATTGTTCCAAAGACACAAGAGCAGTTGCCAAAATGTGAGTGCCAGGAAGCTGGACAGAGTGGATGGAGCTGGCAGAAGATGTGTTTACCAAAGCAGTCCACATTCGAGGCATTAATAACTGGCACAGAAGAATGGAACAACTCCTCCCAGACACCACCTCTTCCTCAGAGCCTACTTTGGCTCAGTAACCATCCAAGCACATTCTCTTCTCAGTTCTCTCTGGAAGAGAAATTTTTCTGAAGAGTTGTGAAAATTTCAGAGCAAACATATCACTGCTTGTGCTCATGGTGTGCTTGTGCATCTGAGTTAATTGGGGTGGTGATGACCTCCAAGTCAAAGTTAGGTGTTTCTTCATAGAGAATGATGAAATAATTGTGACCAAGTTTCAGCAGTTTACTATATGACTCTAACAGTTAAGTCACCACTCCTGTTCATCTTTCACTCAGGTTGAAGCAAATGTACTGTGCCTCATAGTTGGGGTAAGGTAAGAGTGCAAGCAAGGATGGAGCAGACAGCTGGCTGCTCAAAACTGCTTCACTCTCAGCAGCTTGGTAGTCAGTACTCAACACAATCCTTCTACAACACCTGGGCTAGTGCAGTTTTTACTGGCACTCCCTCCTTTTTGTCAGGCCATGCACTTACTATGAGAAGGACATTTCTGATGCTGTCTCTATTTCTGAGTATGTTTAATGTGGTCAGCATTGAATTACATGGAAAATTCTACTGCTTGATCACTCACTGAATAAACCTTGCTCATCATTTAATCTGTATGGGTGGCACTGAAGAGACTTGTAATTTGCCTGAGCTATTGGAGGGGATCATGTGGGAAGTACAACATAAAGGTTATTGAGAAGTGCAGTTTAGTCCATCTGCAGAAATATCACATTTTCTTTCTGCTGTGGCCGTGTTCTTCTGTGGATGCAATCTAGAGTAGCACTTGTGCAGGGATTTAGTGCTGCTGCCCCTCCCTGAGACTGCTGAATGTTTTGAGCTCTCTGAAGGGAAGGTAGATCAGCGGTAGTTACACAATAGAGGAATGTTTTTAAGTTTCTTGTGAAATCTTAGAGATGGTAGTATTGGTAATAGAAGAACTGATACAAATCCAATGAATTGGTTGTGAATTGGTTTTCTAACCTCGTGAATTTTTTGAGGGGGGCTGGAGGGAGGGTGAATCCTGCTGCAAACTGTGATAACTGCACTAAGAAATGTTGACTGGAAAAAAAAGACTAAGAAGTAGTAACAAAACCAGACTAGTGATGTTGCACTATATGTTTTTGTTTCAGGTTTTCCTGAAAAGGTAACAGTAAAGCAATGCTATCGTCTTCTGGGAAACAGCCTCAATGTACACGTGGTGGCAAAATTGATCTCATTTCTACTTGAATGATTTAGAACCTGAAACTGATGCATATGGACTGGTGACAGAAAATACTTTAATCTTTTAGGAGAAAGCTGATGGAACTTGGACGAAAAACAGAGCTTACCAAGATATCTGTCCAGACATTATGCTGAACAGTTTTGATATATTTTTAGTAACTTGCATTCACGATGGATTTAAACTGTATAGGTGTTTTATTTAAATGTCAGTTTACAGGACTTATTTGCTTTATTTAAATATTCTTTTTAGTTTGCTGAATGGAAATAGCAGCATATGCAAATGCTTCAATGAGAAAGGATAAGATTATTTTATTTTTTTATCTTAAAACCACTTTCTTAGTACTGTGTGAAACTGTGTCAAAACTATTTTAATTAGGTGCAGAGACCAAGTTCTATGTGTAAAATGTCTTCATCTTTAAGTGTAAATGATCCATTCTGAAAAGATTTACTGTATATATATGAAATTTTAATGTGATTTTTGTAGCTCATGAAACTATTAAATTCAGTATTTTATATACAATTTCTAAGACTTAGTGTTGTCCTTTATGGTTGTCTCATCTACTTTAAATACTTGTAGGAGCCCAACTGTATTTGTCTGGAATGATTTGCCTAGGTGCAGCTGGATGAAAATATTTTAAGATTATCACAGGCCTGACAATAATTTTCCTGTTTCTCTTCTCATATTATTCAGGATAAGATCATTGCTCCTTATGAAGACCTACATGTAAAAGACATTGAAAAAATGTCAAAGCCTCATGTTTAGGTTCCTGTGACATAAGAATGGAAGAAAAACTATATGGGCTTCTGAAAATTTCTTTTCAAATCTTGGTAGTGCTGGGGTAAGGATGTATGTTGAGGTGAAGCCACTGGATGTGGCCATCCTGAGTGCCACTGCTGCACAGCACCTCATAGAGCTGGATTCAGTGGGTTTGTAATCAAGACTTGTGAGTTCAGTACCTCTGAAATAATAGAGAAAATGATGGGAGAACTGAAAGCCCTCTAAAGAAGCATGTGTTCTAGTTGTGATCTGTCCTCGGGATTTTCCCATTGGTATCTAGATTAAAAACAGCTTGAGTGAGGAAGAGGTGAGATGATACTTAGAAAACATCCCATCCTTAGGGACATTCTATGCCAGAAGGCAGAAGGATTTTGTAGTTGATCATAGTTCCTGTGCACCTAAGCAGTAAAAAAAAAAAGTTGCCAATCCTGAAAATGAATGAGTTTTCTTCTGCCTCTCCCCCCCACCCATGGGATAACACAGGAACAGTCATGGTATGTTCCATTTGGGCTTCATAGTGCAGGCGAAAGTGAAGATAGAGAACAGAGCTGCTGTAAAGATGCAGCAGCTACTTTCATCTGCTATAGTCCTGAAAACAATTTCAAAATCAATTTATGTAGATGAAGTCATGCAGCTTTATCTTATGCTGACTCCTGCATGTTTCTTCTTCAGTTTTGATTTGCCTGTTGCTTGTGGACTATTAAACCAGGAAAAGCTTGGGTTTACCTACTTCAGCCTGTCTGATTCTCCAGGAGCATATTGACCATTTGTGCTGTTCCAGCTGTAAAAGAGAAATGGAAATGCTTTCTCCTGAAAGCACCCTGGACAAAACCCTACAGAAGGATGAGGTTGGCCTCTGTCCTCACCTGACCACTTGTAATACTGAAATGGAAAAAAAGTACTGTTGTGCTGGCTACTAAACTGCAAAGAGCAGGTGTGGTATTGACAGTGAACCATGGTTACCTATACACACAGTGGTTATTGTGTAGATTTATCAGCCAGATCAATAACTAGTAGCTGTATGGTCTTGTTCTTGGGAGAAATGTGGTAGTTTGAATATCTGTTGCTATCTAATATGTTCCAATATGCTACAAAACATTGGTATGAAAATCAATACAATTTGTCAATACATCAATTTGACGTATAAATTGGAATTTCCTTCTGCTAAACCATGTAAATAGTCTATTCATTCTGCTTCACTGTAGTAATATTTGGAAAAATGTCACTATTAACAGTTAATTTTCAATTCTTTTATATGTTGAACATATCTTAATGCTTTATAGGTCACTTGTAAGTGAGCAGTGTTGAAGTATAAACTGAAACATATTTAGCTGCACCTAAAACTGCTATAGTAATACAGAGCCTGTTTACATATTGACAGTGAATTTTAATTCAATGTGTTTATGAAGACTGAACCTGTTTGTTAATTTGAGCTGTTTCTGAAGGGGACAAAAAATTGTAAGAATTCAGAGTTGTAAGTACATATTTGTGTATTTTCCCCCTGCTAACCCTGTCATACCGGCACAGATAAATTGAGTGACTGCTGCTTATCCTCTTGGTTTGTCATTAATCAACTGGTTTACTGAGTGCTATTGGGTTGTACCTGCTTGACCTCACTTGATGATCATGTTGCTTCCTTTTCCAAGCAGTCTCCTAATCCTAAGTACTTTGCAGCCTACATCATTGCTGTACTTTGCAACTTCAGCTTAAGCGTTTTCACAGCAATGAAATGTGATTACAAAAGCAGCTGAAAGGTGAAGAAGTAAAATCTGGAAAACAGCTTTGGAAAGGGAGGGAGATTCCAGAATCTGATTTTTGATTTTGTACCTCATTGGTTTGCACATCTTAATTACATTTCATTATCATGAATGAGGTGATGTGGTTGTGTTCCCTCAAATTTGAGAATTTCCACTGAGAAAAAGGGTGTCATATTTGGTGGTGTTGTATTTATGTAGTCATTTTTGAAGCTTGCAGTAGACTTTAAAAAATCTTCCCTATACCAGCTAGTTTGTATCTGAGTTAGTCTGGAGTTTCCCTGTACTCATGAAGAAACCTGTCTAGCAGCAAAATTGCTAAAATACCATTTTTTTAATGCAGTGGGTTTGAGTATTTTTTGATGCTTGAAGTGGAGATGCATCCTTCCATGCAGTGAATGTAAGGCTCCTGCCCAGGTGCTTTTATATCTCACTTTTGACTTATGCCTCCTAGGAGAATTATAAGGATTTTCAGGAATCTTTGTATTATAATCTGGGAAAACACTGATTGGTGATAACTATTTTTTAAATGTAGACAAGGAAAAGCCCATTTTGGTTTTGATGGAGATATTTCAATAGAAATCTGAACAGGCCCAATGCTTTAAGGACTATACAATTCTGTTTTAGCAGTTGTCACACATTTCTAAAATAAATGAAAAATTTAGAAAATATTTTTTTACATCTCAGGGATGAACTATTCAATTCTGAGCTCCTCTTTTGGCTTCTCTATTTGCTTGCTGTTCAAACTAAATTTTAACACTAGAATTCTTGTATAAATACTGAATTATATTTATTTTCTTTAGCAGTTTAATATGTATTGTCTCTTAATAAGCCACTTATTTTTTTCTGTGTGGTGTTTAAAGAATTTGACATATGAGTAAGGATTTGGAGGAGATTAAGTAATAATAGGTTAAGAGCACTAGGCATTTCTGAGCAGTCTTATATAAATAATATATAAAATTGAACTGATCAAATAAATATCCAAGGAAAAATAATATGAAGCCATAAAAAAGTAGACACAGAGCACAAAATTATTCCAGTAGCCATTTTCCTTTTGCCTGTGCAAATATGATTGTTGTAGTGTTATAACCTCATTAGGGGAAGTTTATGAAATACTGAGTAGTGATAGTATATCAGTTTAAATGTTATTGTGAAGAGCAGGACAAGATTTGTGATGTTTTTATCTATAGTTGATTGTAAGATTTGGAGAATTTATATAGCTGTTAAAGAAAAGAAATAGTGGCCCAAGAGGGCCAGGCAGCTGTCTGTGAAGGTGAGACAGCTGGATTGTTCTCTTTGTCTTTCTTCCACCTGGTCCTGTTGACAGTGGGAGGAAGTTGGATGAGGAATCTTCTGGTAAGAGCTTTGGTGAAACAAGAAGCAGAGTTGGAAGGGTTTAAATCAGCTGGAACACAACACTTTTACTGAAACAATTGTTGGATCAAATGTCAGATGGCCGCTCTGGTTGGAGCACTTCACTAGGCTTTGGGAAACTGCAGCAAAAAAGTTCCTAAAATCTCCTCAAGGGAGGAATGTCTCTGATTTTAGATGCAAGAATACATCCTGATGTCCCAGCTTCAGTGAGAGCATGTTTGTCTTGTGCTTTTGTCCATGCACTGGGCTGTTTTAATTCAAATTTTTTTAAATCTAATTCAAATTTTTTGGAAGCAAAGCATGTTGATGGTACTGATGTATTTTTTCATATGTAGACAGCAATAAATAGTTTTGATTAGTTCAAATGTTTGCCCGTATATATTTTAAAAAACAAGCTAATCTCATTCTGTTTATAAATAATGGGATTCAAATGGGATTCTTCCCAGAATTAGTATTTTTTATTGGCATTTTCACTGTATATTGACCACAATTAGCATATGGCATTACTCATTCTTTGCACATGTGTTGTAAGGTAAAACTTGTGGAGAAGGAGAAGACTGGACAAGTTGGTGTAAGAAAAATCCTTTGAGAGTACTCAGTAAGTAGATTTCTGACTGAGATTCCTGAGCTGCAAGTAACTGGAGGCCAAGAGAGTATCTAGGGGAGGTACTGTATGTCCTCACGTCTTCCTATACCCTTCATTTCCTATCTGCTTTTGGCCACTGTTGGAGAGTGACCTGGATGATCCACTGACCTGCAGAGATCTTTTCCAGAATGATGTCTCTTACTGTTTATTTTGTGTGGTGACAGATTGCCAGTACTTGGCACAGCACCAACACACAGCAATTGCTTTACAGACAGCTCAGACTGAGGTTCTTGGTAAAAGCAGTACAGACTAGAATGAATCTGAGGGAGGTTGTGCAGCCAGGCCCATTCAGGGCTTTAAGGTTATCAGTGAAGAAGGGTGCCTGTGCAAATGGAAGTCCCTAAAAATAACTCCAGTGTATGTTAAAACAATTGGAATGTGTTAAAAGGACTGGAATAATCGATAAAAAAGAGCACTGCCAATACAACCGACTGGAAGCTTTTCATTAACCTAATTGCAAAAAAGAATGAAATGGAGTATAGGAGGCATCAAAGTGGTTAGTGGTTTACAGAAACAACAATGTGTAGGAGGAAAAACCAGGAAGACAGAAGAACTAAAAAGTCTCTAATAAGGAAAGTGAAAACCAATGTGTTAAATATTCCTTGTGATAAGGAATCCAGGGAGAATTTAGACAGCAGATCAATTTCTGCTTAAGTAGTTAACTAAATCAAGACTCTTTGTCATTAGTTGTTAAAAACTGAAAAACTCAATTTCCTGGCCAGGTAGTTCAACTTCATTAGCAGGTAACTTATGAACTTCATCAACTGTGTTGAGGAGGCAGAATCTTAAACAGGTGTCAGAGGGCAGAATGCTGAAAAGGAAATGAAATCCTTAAGAAGGGGTGTGGGAAATGAAGGCTTGTATCAACTGCAGCCCCTGGGGAAGGTGCTGAGGCCATAAAACTCTCTAGACACTCTTTAAGAGAGGGAAGGAACTGATGATGAGTGCTTATAGGTAAGGAAAAGCAA